TCTTAATTACTAGTGTTTCCAGGTCCACCTTGACATGGGGTGGTAGCGCCTGTTAGGGTCCCAGCTATGGGCAAATAGTTAACCCCCAAACTAGGGTCAAAACATTATGAAAGTGTATAAATAGATTTAAAACCTATTTTACACTTTCATAATGTTTTGACCAGCAATACATTTTTGTAAAAAAAATATTACCTGCAATTAATTTTTTAAGGAAAAACCTATTACCAGCAATACATTATTACCAACAATACATTTTTGAAGAAAAAAATATTAGCAGCAATGCATTTTGGGGAAAAAATATCAGCAGCAATAATACTCTTGTCAGCATTAAATAACCCACTGAGGTTGATATACGGTAAAACAAGCCAAACAAAACCAAATCGTAAGATTTTGCCCTCTGTAATAACGTGGAATTAGAGGCAAAGTTCATTGCGAAGAGCTTAGCCTTATCTTAATCAGATTTGTTCTATGTATTCAGTAGTTATCAAAGTTTTTATCACATTGCATTTGTGTATTTAAGATCTCCTGTTGATGAAAGAGGTACTGTTAAATGAACCTCCAAAATGGCTACTCTTCAAGAAAAGGTGCAATGTGTCTCATGGTTTATTGAAATCGGATACGCAGACTAAGCGAAACTACAGAACTTCTATTTATGGCGTTATGTTAAAGATATCGTGTATCGAACAAAGATACAGGACATCATTGATCTAAAGGAAAAGATCACTGAAGACATTGTCGCCATTGCTGAGGCTATGCTACAGCGAACATGACAAGAAATCGAATACCGTCTTAATGTGCTTCGTGCAACTAATGGTGACCATATAGAGGTGGATTTAATTAGTTGAAAAGGAACTTCAATATTTACTCTTCGTAACAATTTCCATATATTTGTCTGTTCATTTGATATTGCAGGCTTTTTTTTTCAAATTGTAAAGCGATTTCATGGATACCCCCTGTATTACTAATTAAGAGTTAGTTATTTAACCTTTTTATTTTTGCCTCTTTATATTAACGTCTTTGTGATATAAACAGTGATTCCAAAACTTCTACTTTGTGGAACTGATCCCGATTGCTAGTGCGGGAGGGGGGGGGGCCGATTTAGTCCCTGATGACCCGACCATGTGGCACCCTTCGAATTTGTATAAAAGGTCATAATAAACGCTTTTCAAAGTTGGAAGTCACGACTTTTGCATATGAGAAAGAAAAGTTCCCGATAAATAAATAATATTTTAATTTATTTATTTAATATAGATGAACAGTATGTATTTGTTTATTCTGCGCCATGTTTGGTCAAAAATCAATCCTTTGGTGGTAAAACTCCTTCGTCATTCTGCAAGTAAATATTTAGCCGGTCAGTGATATGTTAATTATTTATTTTAGTGTCAAATCTTTTCAGCGTTCTTTTTGATTCTAAGTACAAGTGTCTTTTTGTTTCTGTTTCCTTTAAAACTTGCCTTATGCTTACATGTACCGTCCATGACATTCTCTGTATCATTCTCAAGAACGGCGTGTAAGACAAGGATGTGTCGTCTCACCGGATTTATTCAAGTTTGACAGCGAGGCAATTTTAAGTTTTTTTTAAGTGCGTGTTTGTGTGCGCGTTAAAATGTCTGTAGCTATGTATTCAAAATAAGATGAAATCAGACCCCCAAAACAATATTAATCAGTTTCCATCACTATCTATCTATCTATCTATCTATCTATCTATCTATCTATCTTACTCTGTTCATATCTATCTATCTATCTATCTATCTATCTATCTATCTATCTTACTCTGTTCATATCTATCTATCTATCTATCTATCTATCTATCTATCTATCTATCTTAGTTTGTTTATATCTATGTATCTATCTGTCTATCTATCTCTCTTAGTTTGTTCCTATCTATCTATCTATCTATCTATCTATCTATCTATCTATCTCAGTCTGTTCATATCTATCTATCTATCTATCTATCTTAGTCTGTTTCTATCTATCTATCTTAGTGTGTTTCTATCTATCTATCTATCTATCTATCTATCTATCTATCTATCTATCTTAGTTTGTTCCTATCTATCTATCTTAGTCTGTTCTTATCTATCTATCTATCTATCTATCTATCTTAGTCTGTTTCTATCTATCTATCTATCTATCTATCTATCTATCTATCTATCTATCTATTTTAGTTTGTTCCTATCTATCTATCTTAGTCTGTTCATACTTATCTATCTATCTATCTATCTATCTATCTATCTTAGTTTGTTTATATCTATGTATCTATCTGTCTATCTCTCTTAGTTTGTTCCTATCTATCTATCTATCTATCTATCTATCTATCTATCTATCTGTTCATCTTATCTATCTGTTCATATCTATCTATCTCTATCTATCTATCTATCTATCTCTATCTATCTATCTTAGTCTGTTTATATCTATCTATCTATCTATCTATCTCTCTTGTTTGTTCTATCTATCTATCTATCTTAGTCTGTTCATATCTATCTATCTATCTATCTATCTATCTATCTTTAGTCTGTTCATATCTATCTATCTATCTATCTATCTTATTTTATTCCTATCTTATCTATCTATCTATCTATCTATCTATCTATCTATCTATCTATCTATCTTGGTCTGTTCATATCTATCTATCTATCTATCTTGATCTATCTATCTATCTATCTATCTTATATATTCATCATTCATCTATCTATCTATCTATCTATCTATCTATCTATCTATCTTAGTCTGTTCATATCTATCTATCTATCTATCTATCTATCTATCTATCTATCTATCTTAGTCTGTTCATATCATATCTATCTATCTATCTTCTATTTTGTTCCTTATTTTGTTCTATCTATCTATGTTGATCTGAGTATAAAAATAACAAATGCCACTCGTTCCAATCTCTTTATCTGTTTGAATTCGCACGCTTTTTTAGACCCTTAGAAATGTATGGCGATTCTTTCATCCATACATTTTTTCTCTCCTATTTTTTCCGCCTGTTTCCCTCTTTAATTATTTCACTTTCAACTGATCCTCTCCTGCCACCCCTTTTACCCTACTCTCTCTCTCTCTCTTTCGAATTCCCCCCTCTCTCTCTCTTGCACGTTCGCTCTCCCTCTAATACACGCACGTACGCAAAATGAAGCTGTCGCACTTGTTCTGCACTGTATGCAATGTGGCCTACATCGTGTTGTCATGGCAACTGGTACAGATTTGCCCAATCTGTCTAGTAGCAGTAGCAGTCTTTGAAGCGAGAAAGAGGGTGGTGGGTGGAGAGTTGAAATTGAGTTGTCACTCAGACTAGCGGTCGGGCGTATGATGATGATGATGATGACGATTGAGGGGGTACTCGTCTGTACGGATCGAGTGCCCTGCCCTGCGTGATTAAGAAATAGTGAACTTGCTTCGTTCGATGTTCAGTCCATAGGCAACCAACAGGGTTCAACTTTCGTAACGCGTGCGCCTATTGGTCAATACGTTTTTGATTCTTTTGTGGAGAGATCAAAGCGGAAAGGATCAAGATCGAGCAATGGCGCAGCTTCAGAAGTGAGATAACAGTCGCCTATATTCCTAACGGCGAGCCTAACGGCAATACCACGCTGAAAAAAAAAAAAAGTTGAGCAACGTCGAGCGTGGTCAGTAAATAGATGGGTGTTCGCTGGAGAATACTGCGTGCTGTAGGCGCGGATGTGCGCGTGACGTAATGGGCTTACGTCAATATCACGTTAAAACGCCGGGTCTTGTATGATCACTGGTTAAGCAACATCGAGCCTGGACAGTAACTAGATGGGTGACTACTAGGGAGTACCAGGTGTTGTAAGCTTGGATGTAATGGGCTTAACGTCAATATCACGTTAAAAAACCGGTTCTTGTATGATGACTGAAGTTAAGCAACGTCAAGCCTGAACAATAACTAGATGGTTGACCACTAGAGAATACCAGGTGTAAACTTGGATGTAATGGGCTTACGCGAATATCACTTTAAAAAACCGTTTCTTGTATAATCACTGAAGTTAAGCAACGTCGACCCTGGACATGAACTAGATGGGTGACGAGTAGGGAATACCAGGTGTTGTAAACTTGGATGTAATGTGCTTACGTCAGTATCACTTTAAAAAACCGGTTTTGGTATGCTCACTGAAGGTAAGCAAGGTCGAGCCTGGACAGGAACTAGATGGGTGTCCACTAGAGGATAACAAGTACTATAAGCTTGGATGTAATGTGCTTACGTCAATGTCACTTTAAAAAACCGGTTTTGGTATGATCACTGTAGTTAAGCAATGTTGAACCTGTGCAGTAATTAGATGGGTGATCACTAGGGGATACCGGGTGCTGTAAGCTTGGGTGTGCGGGTGACATAATAGGCTTACGGCAATATCAGGTTGAAAAACCGGTACGTGTACGATCACCGCATGTAAGTAACGTTGAACCTGGTCAGTACCTAGATGCTTGATCACTAGGGGATACCGGGTTCAGTAAGCTTGGATGTGAAGGTGACGTAATGGGCTTACGGTAATATCACATTGGAACACCGGTTAAACGAGCCCCTGGCTGAATGACGTCTAGATGGGTGACCGCTTGGGAATAGTAGGCGCTTGCATGTGCGGAATCGTATGGTCTTCAGCCATATCACGTTGAGACATCGACTCTCATACGATCACCGATGTTAAGCAACGCAGAGCCTGGCCAATACCTAGATGGGTGAACGCTTGGGAATAGTAGGCGCTTGCATGTGCGGAATCGTATGGTCTAAAGCCATATCACGTTGAGACATCGACTCTCATACGATCACCGATGTTAAGCAACGCTGAGCCTGGCCAATACCTAGATGGGTGACCGCTTGGGAATAGTAGGCACTTGCATGTGCGGAATCGTATGGTCTACAGCCATATCACGTTGAGACATCGACTCTCATACGATCACCCATGTTAAGCAACGCTGAGCCTGGCCAATACCTAGATGGGTGACCGCTTGGGAATAGTAGGTGCTTGCATGTGCGGAATCGTATGGTCTACAGCCATATCACGTTGAGACATCGACTCTCATACGATCACCGATGTTAAGCAACGCTGAGCCTGGCCAATACCTAGATGGGTGACCGCTTGGGAATAGTAGGCACTTGC